ATCAGACGGCATGGCCGTACCTCTCGCCCATTCTGGCATGACCACTCCAAAACGCCACTGCATCCCTACTGTTCGCAAATAAACGACATGCAATCCGGTTTTCGGCTGATTAAATGGATGCAACGTGGGACAAACTCCTTGCACAAGGGAATTAGCTGTTAGAACAAGAGCCCTCTCGTATCTGGATTCGGGCAGCTCCGGAGTTCGAAGACGATATCCTTGCCATCGAGTCCCACAAGGTCAAACTAGTATGCAAGGTTAACCGAGGTTCTTCAGAACTGTATTTAACAGTCGATGCGCTTTACAACTCATGCAAGCGGTTTTCTGCCGAGTACAGTTCTTGTGTTGTCATGTACACGAACGATAGAGCTTCCACGCTGCAACACTGTCAGTTTAGGAGGTCACTAGTTAACAGTTCAGGATGTACTTGCGCAACTAAAATCATGCAGCCTTGAATCAAATTCATCTTCGCTAGATTTTCCACGAATATTTGCTACTTTCTCTGTCTGTAACATTTGGAACTGCACAGCAGATCTACAAGCCATATGCAGTTCGAGATACTCACTCACTTTAACGTTTTCAGGCTCGATTATTACTTCGAGCGGCATGAAGAAACAAGGATGTTATGAATAACGATAATCTATGCAGAAAAAGCTTATTTAAACGAAAGCACCGGAAAGAGAGTAGACAACGGATCAAGAACGAAAGAAATTAAAATGACGAACCACAATATTAGTGTCGTGCATCTTTACAAAGATACCCTTTGACAAATATGAATGACTGATGAAGGTAAAATAACTGCGCAAAAGTGAGAGCGATGCAAAATACCTGAAAAAAGACAAGTGGTTTGGCTTAATATCCGGGAAGTTTAGAAACATATGGAAGCAAAAATTCACCGCTACAAATTTGTAAGTTTTATCCAAGGAACACAATACGCAAAAGCATGTGTTTAGAACGTCTTGAAAGCTGTCTGACAATTATCTTTCAATGCAAAGCAGAAATGTAAACCGCTTCAGACTAATGTTGCCCGCATTACTGATAAAACTAGCTCTGACAGCTAGCATTCACTTTAACCACGGTTACAGTGTACGTAGCGCTGTCGTACATCAGAGACCACTCACGTAAGGCTTCAGTGGCATGTTATTTACTTCTATAATATTTGTAATCAATATAGTTACTCCTATCCGTGTACTAATCCGAACTCGACTTAGAATGCAGCTTTATTACATATAGAAAACAATGTTTTTTAAAAGTCCCAGCTTTAAATAATTGGCAGTAAAAGTGTCACAGGTTACCTGATACGATTAATTTTATTATTCTCACTGAGTATAGTTGCATTTTATGCAAATTCCTCCCCGTATGAATAATTTGTGGTGTAGTTGGCAACTGCAACATGCACAACATCGGATAAGACCTCTGTACAAGACCTTTGCTCAGTAGAAAACTGAAAGGAGCACAAACTGAAAAAAAGCAATTAGCACCTTAGTTCGGCACTGAACTCAAAGTTGAAAAATTGATAGCTCGAACCGCAGCAAAGTTTGCCAAGTCTTACCATTTTGAAGTACTTGAACGCACAATGCCATGAATAAAAAAGAAGTAAAAGAATATAAGCTTTACCTGTAACAAGCTATAGCGTTCTCATTTTGTTTTTTTCAGCAATAGCCATGAACTGAACATGGTCCATGAAGTAGGAACCTTAGTAAATTCATGAAATCCTTTGATTACTTTTGTTTTGTGCCTAAAGTTCCAGAACTAAAACTTTTTAGAACTTCAGATGCTCTTGTTTTAGCCAACACAGTTCGTTGCTACCAAGCAACTTGACCCGATAATTTTATCTGTTTATAAGAAACCGACTCAGCTACCTTCAGTATTTTAAAATATGTCCAAACATTAATTCAACCTCGGTGATCATAGCAATGAAGAATGTAAAGGATCACATGCATGGATAAAGTATTTTGACAATTTTTTCTATAGTCGTGAAAAAAACTCATGAACTTTAAAAGAATTGGCTCAAGAAGCGATGGTAAACTGGGCGTGTTGATATCTAAATGCATTTTAAGGCAGTTCTGCTTAGTACATGAATAATCTGACCACCATTCTGCACGAAAGGATTACAGATCGTCATTCTCACTCGACTTTTAAAGTGATGTAGCATCATTATGCGACTTACCCTATGAATGAATGACGACTGCTTAGTAGTTAAGTCGTAGTTAGCTAGTTAGTAGTTACCAAATACTCCTACATCCAGTTCGCTTTTGGCCTGATTTCATCTGCAGCATTGTAGAGAAATTAAGAGATTTTATTAACTGAACGGCAGAGTAAGTGAACGTGCTGTTGCTGCATTACAGCAGAATTAATATGGTTATCGACCGTTTTAATCTTTTTCATTTCGCTTTTAAAGTGATAACCAAATCAACTACTACTAAAACTACGAAAATTCGAACCTCGAAGGGCTCACTTCCACCATACATATTGAAGAACTTGGTTCCAAGTTATAATTTTCGGGCGGCATAAACTTTTTCCAATTGCTCACGAATTCCCTTGAGCAATACATGAAGACACAGTGCTCCAATCAACTCGGAAAGAATGAGTAAAAAGGTAACGATATGCGAACCGTTAGCATATTACTGTCAACTAATATGATCAAACCTGGATTCACGAAATGCATTGCCATATTGTTATATGCGCTGGATTCAAATGGCTGCCATTCACCCTAAACTGTTCAAAAACTTCTAAATTCAGTTTTGAACAATTATATAACTCAAATCCAAATAAAATGCCAAACTTTAAACACATTCAATACATTATTCAAATATAAGAAGCACGTGAATAACGTTTCCTCCAAAACCGACTGTCAGTTTACCTTGCTGAAATCATTGCTGCTGTATGACATCCAAACTAAAAACCTGAAACAACGTCCAAAATCTTTGAAAAACTTTGAGGAATAAGCTACGCAAGGATTAATATAATTTTCCTTGAAATCGAGACACCCTAATTATGCTTCGAAAACCTGTATTACGTCAAACGTAACTTTCGCTTGGCAGAGAGCAATTTATTGCGGAATAGAATGGCATATATTAGCCATATGGAAAATAAGCGGCGAAAGTAAGCCGAAACAAATCTGAAGTCAAAGGAGAAAACTTCCAGAGAACGGAACTGGGTATTAAGTCTGCAAAACAGTTCGTTCCGCAATTTAATTAATAATATCTAGACAATAGACAAAGGATTATTACCTATAGTTGAATGATCAGTGAATATTACAAGTTATTCATACGCCTGAGTATGTATAATAATGAATGACCCCTCCAAGACAAATTTCAGGATGTACCGCACAACCCTCTTGCCCCCATTTGCTTAGAGGGCCGTTTAGACAGGCCACCGCTCCTTAGTATCTGAGCACCTTGCATCATTTTGTCTGCTAGAGCCACCTCGCGTTGTGCTAGAAAAAAACTACGCTAATAGTTACACTTCATGGAGTAGTAAACGAGGAAGAGTACCAGCTCCTGAAATATCATTCTTAATGAGCCCGCAGTGGCTTTAGCAGACAAAATAATGTGAAATGTATCTGGCACTACAGGGGCTCAAGTACCACGGAGACGTGGCCTGCCTAACCCCCACCCCTTCCCTCCCTAGGCAATTAGGAGTAACGGGACGGTGCCGTACGGCGTGAAATCTGGTCATTGAGCAGTCATTCGTTATTAATGATCAATCAAAATATATCCAATACGTCAGAAATATAGAAAACTTTAAACAAAAACTGCTTAACTGAAACTTTAACAGTAACTTGACTGACAGATGCAAATTTTGCAATAAATACATCTCACTCTGTTAGTGTTTGACAAGGAGACGCAATATTACCGACGGTATTTACAGCCCTAAAGGACGTTCTCAAAACATCTCGTTGGGAAAGTCAAGGGCTGAATATAAATGGGCACTACTTAAGTTATCTGCAGATTGTGGAAGACATTCGGATCCTCTCAAGGGCAATAGAAAAACTCCAAAGCATAATCGACTAGCTGAACGAAGCCAGCATGAACGTGGGGTAGAGGATGAACTTGAAAAAGACTCAGGACATGCTCAACAAATACGTGACCGTGCGACATGAAGTCAACAGACTTAGGTTTGAAGAAGTACGAAACAACGATCGTCTGGGACGGCTCATCTTTGAAACAGAGAATCGATTATGTCAAATCGGTAGAATAATAAAAATGAAATGAAGCACTGAAGTGCCCTTGTGCTTGAAAGAGAAGTTATTCGATCCACATGTACTCCTAGTGGTAATCTATAACTGTGACATGTGAATCCTAAGAGAGGAAGTCAATCATAAACAGGTGACAACAGAACGCAGCATGGAAAGATGCATGCTGGGAATGACAAGAAAAGCTAGGAAGATGAATGACAAAGTAGAAGCACATGAAGAGTCAGCGATGTCACTGCCTGGAAGAAGAGCTAAACTGGGAATGGGCAGGAAGTATTGCGGGAAGAGCCGACCATCGTAGGATCAGAGAGGCATTAGAATAGGCTGCAAGAAAGAGTAAACGCCCGCATGAAGACCTTCAGATCGCTAGCAAGATGAACTGAAGAAGTATGCCAGTTCAAGATGGATGAATGTGGCAGACAACAGAAGTTTATGGCAAAGTTTAGAAGAGGCCTCCGTACAGTAGTAAATCGACAAAAAATCGATAATGATCATATATCCGAACCTAATGGGAAGTTCATTTTACCATGTATTAAATATAAAAGGTCATGAGCATGTTGCTCAAACTAGCTGTAAAGTAGAAATGCTTACCTCAGTAGCTGCTGGTCGACTGTTAGGATTCCACCGAAGTAAGTCTTTAATGAGAACAATGCCATCTTCGCAGGCATTTTCTATAAGATTGTTCAACGCAAGTGGCACACAGTGAGGAAAATGGAAATTCATCAAGGAGGCAAGCTGATAACCCTCTGGCCACTCCTCCTAAAATATTAATTCATTAATGAAGAATAAAATCAAAGCTTTTATGCCTTCTTTGGAGTGCCTAAAACAGAGCAGATCTTGAAAATTTCATCGATTTCGGAATTTCCCGGGAAAAGAG